ATCATCCTCCCTCCTCCCATGACACCCCGACCACCCAGATCTACACTCTTCCCCTCCCCCACCCACTCCCGCTCCCTCCCCCCCCCCGCACCACCCCCACACCCACACCCATCCCACACCCACACCCTTACCATATTTAAGATTTATTTTATATCAATAACACTTGATAAGATATCGAAAGTCAATTGTGACATCTTGTTTCAAGAAAGGAATTAACAGCGAAAATATTTAATCTTATTTGACAGTTATGTTGGTTTCGCAACAGTGATGATTATTTTTTTGAAAAAAATTTTTCCCAAAATCCAACATAAGATTTTCTCTGGGATTGAAATCATCCGGCTAGTCAATAAATCTACACAATTTATTTTCAAATGTTTTATTTACATTTCTATGATGAAATAAAGGTTGTCAAGAGAATATGAATCCTTCGAAATGAATACATTTGCAAAATTGAATGCACAAAAAAATAGTATCTACGACGTAACTGAATAAATTACATTTCAATTATTCATATTTCTTAGTAACGAATTACTTTGACAACAAAAAGAAACAAAAGAAACGATTTTTTTCAAATAGATATAATAATGAGTCAACTTTTGTTACTAACTACTATCAAGAAGAAGTACTGAAAAACTTTCTGTTTATCTAAATCCATGGGATGAATCATTATTTTTTTTGTATCACTGCCGACTGAACAAGTATATTAATATCGATGACAACCATGCATGGGGGCAACTTTCTTTGAAAGGTTTAAAGCTAATAGAAAAATATATAGAATGCTGATGTGTGTAAAAGTATTGCGAAATGACACTTACGCAATGTTGCGTAATTTTCGATAAGGCCGACGTATATATAGAATGACAAAAATGCGGAAATAAAGACAAAATTATCATTTGCAGTGACTTTTCTTTTCTCTTTTTGTTCGACTCAGCAGGTAACACAGTCTGCCTTTTTCGATGATTCACCTATTTTGATGCTGCACTTTCTTTTCTTTCTCTTTTTTTTCGGACATTTCCATATCAGGAGCAGGAAGGCAAGCATATAAAAACTGACTTTTATTTTGACTACGATCATTCATTCTAATTTACAACTCACCAACAAGTTGATTTTATTTCCTTTCAGATTATTGAAAACAAAATAATGAAATCACGACTAAAATCTGCTATATTACGTCACACCGACTCAATAAAACGGTCAAATCTTAGTGAAATTAAAGACACTATTCGCAGCCATGTTCCGATTGCGAACAACGATAACGGTTACGGCTCAAATGAATATATTCATTTGAATTTTTACGATGATGACAATTATCTATCGATTGTTAAATGTATCAATGGAGGTTATCACGTCACCGAAGACATGCTAAAATTCATGTCAGACTATAACAATTGCCTTCAAAAACATATTGACAATCTTAAATCATGCTCGGAAAAATCGAAATCAAAAGTGAACGCTCAATCAACACTTTCATCATATAATACAACTAAAGCAGCTCAATTAAAAACTATTTGTGCACCTTCATTAGAAGCTGAATACTTACAAGCTCGTCATGATGCAATTCAAGAAGTTATCGACAAATGCCGTACTGAATTAAGCAGAATCTATTCAAATGAGTGTTCAGGCTCGAGCCGAAAACATCATCAAACAGATTACATAATCGACTCTTTCGAAGCTGCACGTTCAGCTTTATTGAAATTATCGTATAAACTCAAGAAATTGAAAGAAAAAAAAAACAAGGAAGAAGCTGCGCTGCTAGAGGCGAGAATTCTATATGAAAATCTTAGCTACACGTATGGAGTAAAGGAAAGCAAGACTGAAAAAGCAAACGATAGTAGAAAAAATCATGAGCAAAAATTAGAGGAAATCAAAAACGACATCGCACGAACTGAAGATGAATATGTACAAGAAAAGAAAACTTACCGTGTTGAAGCAAGACAAATTTATGAAAAATGTCGAGTATTGGAAAAAGAACGATTAGAATTAATTGGAGACACCTTAATGAAATTCATCGAAACAGCTTATTCATCTGAAAATTCAACACAGCACCGTGCGATCTACAAAGACCTTACATCCTATCTCAAAGTTGAACGAGACGCTTCAGAAGATCTCGACTTTTGGGCACAAACTTATGGTGTTTATGATTCAACAACATCGCTATCAACGGAAACCAATCAAAATAATGGTGCTCAAAATGAAAATGTCTTCTTTCGAAGAACGAAGAAATCTAATAAAGCTGAAACTGAAGATACCGCAACAACAACAAAAGATGACAACACTCAACAGCCAGTTACTGACGACGACGAACAATCATCATCAGCAGATACTACTACAAGTAGAACAAAAGCTAAATCAAAGAAAAATCAAAAGTAATTTCAAAACTGAACCAGTCCCAGCAAACACTACGTTACTCATGTTAATCAATCCTAAATTAGTAATAATTTAAATGAAAAATAGGATTTGCTTTAGGTTACAATTATGTTTGTATTTTTTTTTATTCTACAGTTTGTGTATTTTTTGTATAGTAACTGTTAACTTCTCTTCTCTTTGTTGTAATCTTCTCAAAAGACTAAATGCTATTTTTTTATTAGATCTATTCGTACAGGCAACATGTTAACTTTTTTAAATAATATAATAAAATCGAATTTTCCAGTAAAAATGAAACTTTTATTTTATTGCACATTGTTGAGAAATTTGATATTCATGTATAGAATGATTCATTTTTTTGTTTCCCACTCAGGCAATACTTTAACAAAATAAATAAATAAAATAAAAAGTGTACTTAAGTCGGAAGCTATTATGATGTCATCTAAAAACACTCTTGCGTCATAAAAATAATATAATTAAGAGTAAATTGTTGAATATTCCAATGATTCAACATAATAATAGTAACAAATTGACATTAAACATATATTTCAAAGGCTTTCATAAATATGCAAATTAAAAAAGGCCTAAACGTTCTAATGCAAAATAAATGCTTCCAATAGACTATTTTGATCTATTCAAAGACAAAAAACAACGATACATAGGTCCGAGATATAGTCCGTCTAGAAAGGATAGACTCCATTGGACAAAACGAAACTATGTCGTTT